CGGCTGTGTTAGAACAAAGTCACAAGTGTTTGTGACCAATGTGTTGAACATATTGGCCCTGTCTGACTACTGATCATAAAAATTATGTGCTTCATCCCAGAAACTGTAACTAAGGTCAGCTCAGCATAGTTGCAGTATAAACCACAGGTTAGCTCTGTGGTAGGTATTGAAGAAACAATAATGTGCCTGAGAAGGTGTTTGCAACAGGGATTGGCAAGCTACCCTCGTAGACAGGTATACTTGGAAGTGAGTAGCCTACCATTCTGATAAGTGGACAGAGTGATTACTGGAGGGTCTGTCTACAAAATTCTAGAAGGTAATAGGAATCAGATAAGTGAGAAACTTGATATTTGTATTATATATATATATATATATATATATATATAATAAAACTATAGTTTTACGGTATGCTATATTTATAGTTAAAAGTGTATCAAGGATAGAGCGTATATAAATATAAGAGTGTATACTAAGGTCAGTGCTCACAATTTGTTTCAAGCTTGAATGCAATTTTCAAGCCTGAAGCAGACTATTGGAGCTCAGTGTTGACCTCAGTGTCCACTTGTGTGTGTGTGTGTGTATATATATATATATATATATATATATATATATATATATATATATATATATATATATATATATTTGTGTATATGTATGTCTTTTCATTGTCTGTGTAGAGATAGTAAGTTGGATCCAAGACAGATGTTACACTCTGATCCTAGGATGTGTCAATCCATATATGAATAACCGTCTCATTTTTTTTATGGTTATTATGCTAGTAATAGTATAACATAACATTTTAATATTATTAATACATCACTTTTAATTTGAAGTTCTTTTTGTAATAATTATGTTCAAATTACACAAAGCACTATACAACAGATATTTTATTTTTCAACATAATCTCCTCTTGTGTCAATGCACTTAATTTAGTGATGAATATCAATCCTGTAGTTTGAACCTTATACAGTGTAACTTTCAGAACAAAATCTTATAAATTTCAAGCAAAAAACTGATTGATACACATTTGTATTATTTTCATGTAAAAAGAAAAGTATGTTTATTCTTAAGAAATTAAAAAAAAGAAAAAAAGCAAAAACCTCATCCAATGTTTTTTTATTGTTTGTAATTAAATATGGAATTGTGCTGGTAATTTGATGGATGTTGCATATAGCTGACTGTAAATAAATTTGACAAGAGTCATGTATGGAAGCAATAGAGTTAACTTTAAATTTAGTAAAAAGAATATCATTTTAACCTGAAATAATTCCATAATTATCATAACTTCCAACCAGATGTAGTAAGAGAATTAACAGAAAATGTCACTCAACTCACTGACAGAAAATGTTTGTAAAATGAAACATTTATTCAGTTTATTCAGCATGAAGTGATTAAAAATATAAGTGTCATGAATTACAAGTTAAATTAGCTGAACCAAACTTGAGGATATTTGTCAAAAATGTCTATTTTGCAATAATTGTTACTATTTTTCACAGTACCTGAATAGACCCACAGGAAAAATATTTTAAATTCTTTTGACAAAAATAACTTTACCAAGAGCAGTTGATAATAAACAACATCTGTGACGACAGAACAGAGAAATTCTTCCTGAATTTCTCGTCCTTTTCACAAGGTTACAATAGCAGAATTATTATCTTTATTTTTTTGTTTTTATTATGTGACTTATTGTCAACCACTAAAAATTAAAGCAAAATACTCATCAAAATTAATAATAGAAGGTTTAAAGTACACTGACAATCTCCACAGCAATATTATAATTTTTATATAAATAAATTTGAAGATGATCTAGATAATATTTTATAAGCAAAACATTTTATGTGATAAACATTGTCTGAAATAGGTCATTATCATTCCATAAGTAGTATGGCTTATTATTCTCATCTATGATGAAAACATCAGTTCCAATAACCTAGAATTAAATAGTTCATAATCAAGGAACTTTTTTGGAATATTTAAAAAAAACAAAATAAAGCAAATCTTTCAATTTCTGATTGCTTTCTTGATCCATTGTAATAATAATGAAAAGGTACATTATTATGTGTAGTTCATCTTATTCTACACCTGAGAAATAATTTCATACTAAATCAAATGAGACCTAAGGGACATAACTTCTTTTGGGTTTTGTTTTAAAATCTTTTGCCTGTCAAGTACAATAATATCAAAGATTAAGAAATAAAAAGTATGACTACTGACAAATGTAAAGTTTATAGTTTCAATACAGTCATTTTAAAAAAAAAGTTGAAGCTGATTTAAACATAATTTGATTCAATTGTGCTAACATTTCCACTTGGTGAAGAGATCAGTATGTTATTAATAGTACTTTCTGTGATTTGTAATTGAGCAATAAGACTGCAATGAAGGAAATTCCCATCATGCACAGTTAATAGGATAATGATATTTAAGATCTGCTTATAGTACAGCACAAATGGAGGTAAAAGGGAAGAAAATTGTATTAAGGTAATCATTTAAGTCCAGAGTTCACCATGCTATGAAAGTTAACATTCAAAATTCTGGTTTCAGACTGGATTCAAACAATGATCTTTGTCTCACTGCTATATTATGAGGAAATGCTATCCAGAATAGGGGCAGTCATGGCTCTCCACAATTTCCTATCCTTTGTAGCTCCTCACAATCTTTTTTTTCTTTTTATCATCCCTATCATTCTCTATTTTACTATCCATTTACACAAGCTTCAATATGTCCTGTGAGTGTCAAATTTTCCAAACCTTGTGTGCCCTCAAAATTTTAACTGTATCTTTCTGGTTTTAAGTGCCCTTTTTATTCCTTAAAACTTCCTTCTTGCTCACATGCTCCATCCATGATATTTTTAGTATCCTTCTGTAGAACAACATTTATATGGCCTAAAGTCTCTTCATTATCGGTGAGGATACTGTCCAGCATTCACTGCCATAGAGAAGGATTATTATATAGCAGTTCAACACTCTTCTTTGTAACAGAATTTTCCTGTTTCTTGATACTTTGTTTAGCTTTTGGAATGTATCTTTACCAATGCGCTCTCAAATTTCAATGTTACATTTTCCATCTTCTATTAAAACACTTCCCAGATATTTAAACTTCTGTACTTGTTTGCTTCTGACATCACTAATTTGTAGCTCGCATTTTGGGCTTTATATACATAATGTTATATTTTCCTTAGTCTGCATACCTACTACATAAAATCATGAATGTAAAACATAATAAGGCTGTAATGTCTACTTTTAAAATCAAACCTTTTGAAAGATTTGTTAGCATTTAACAACTAATCAAATATAAGCAAGATAGTAATAACAACCAATGGAACACATAAGCAATGAAAACTTGAGATCATTATCAACTCCAAGTGGATGTGCAGGTAGCATAATGGTTATTGGCACAAAAAATGGAATCAGTGAGCCGAGTTCAAATTCCAGTCATGTCTGTTACATTCACTTTCATTCTAGTGCCCTTGGGAAAAGAATGAATCCATTTCCTCTTCCCTACTATAAGTTAGACTCAGTTCTTTAGCTTGGGATGGCAACCTGTCTAAGAGTTTAAGTGGATTTTTAACAGCATATCAAGTCTTTAGAATCATTTTATGCTCATACTGATTTATTTTCATTTATATTTAGGGAAAATGGACAATTTTTCCTTTTTTAAAATATATTTTCAGATATCATCCAACTGATTTCTGGAATGTTAAAATTCTATTTATTTTAATATTTTTGAATAATTCTTTTAGGCTGCTTGCCTTGAAGAAATTGTATCTTTTGGAGTCAAGATAAATGCATTCAATTAGAAAATGTTTTACCATATCTTGGGTTTGGTACGTAGGACGCCATGGTGGTTCTTCTTATTTCAGTAAGAATGAATGCATAATTTTAGTATAACCTATTTGTAGTCATGTCATAATATACTCTTCCCTTCAGGATTTTCCATAATGGCAGGGTTTTTTTTCTGAGGGTTGGTAAAAAGGTATTTAGTTTATTTTGCATTTTTCTGCTCCATTGTGCTTGCCATTGATTTTGCATGTTTCTTAATGGTTTTAGGTTAGTATATAGGATTTGGCGGTTTTCAGGAACTAGTCTTAATACCTGTTTAGCACTTTTGTTTCCTCTATTCTTGCCTTTAATTCCTACATGGCTAGGAATCAAGACAAAACAGAATTTTTTTGAAAGTAGAAATGGTATGAATTTTTTCCAATATTTTAGCTATCAAAGGGTTTTGCAGCTTTTTGTTTTTGCAGTCTAAGAGAAGGAAAACTGAATTCCAAACTCTGGAAAAGGCAACAGGAAACCACTTTACAGTCTTTTCAAAGAGACATCATGGCAATTCACAGATAATAAACAAAAGGAATCTGTGGAGAGCCATGATCACCTATGTCCTGAAGGGACATGGCATTAAAAAATAACGCTCTCTAGAATTGAATGATCACCAATCAAAGAGATAGAGAATTCTGAATTCAAAAACCTAGAGAAGGCAACGGGAAACCACTACAGCATATTTTCAAAGTCTTGGCAATTTAAATATAATAAAAATGGAATCTGTGGCAAGTTATGATCACCTATGTCTTGAAGGGACATGACATTTAAGAAAAAAAAAAAAATCAATTCCTAAGAGCTAAATAAGCATAAAACATTTTCCCCCACTCAGCTGTGGTTGAATATAGCAGTCTACTAGCAAATAAGCTAAATTTGCATACAGTGGTATAAAGAGTTAATCGGCTTTTTGATAAAGAAGAAAATGGTTATTGAATAATTATATTTACAAGCTCAACTGCATCACTTGATGTAGTTGAGCTTGTATTTTAATAATAAAGACCAATAAATATGTGCATGTACTTTTGTCTAAAAATAGCAGAATAAATGTTGAGTGACAGTTCTGTTAATGGGTGACTACTAAAGAATGAGTGAAAACAACGTGGTGATACATACAGAATTACCAGTGGAGTAGCCTACAACATTATCCCACACAGGTGACATGCTCCTCTGCAGGATACTCACAGACTGCTGGAACTGTTGCTGCTGTTGACTCTCGAAAGTCTGCGAAGTCATTGTTGTGATAGTCTCGGTCTTCTGCTCTTGGTGATGATATTGTTGTTGTTGTTGTTGTTGATGTTCAACTTTTGTAACATGCTGGTCTGAACTGACAGCATTCATAGCAGAGAGTGCCGCTTCAAGCTGATCCATGTCATTGGTAAGATCTTTGGGGCTGTGTGCGCTTGAGGCTAAAAAGCAAGAAAAACCCAAAAAATAAAATATATATATATATATATATGTTGCCAAATAATATAAATATTTGTTTAGTTTTAAAATTTAAAAGGACAAAAAAAAAAAAAAAACATTAAGAGAAATATAAATGACAAAAACAAAAAAGAAATAAGCAAAGCAATACAATTTGATTTCTGTGAAATTAAGATTTTTTTTAAATAAAAAACAGAAAAGGTCAATAATTTATATTAAATCAGGCTGATTTGAATATTTAAAAATAGCAAATGAAATTACATTGTACTGAAAAAGATTTCTTTAAAACTTTAATTTAGTCTGCATACATTTAAAGCCACCAACAATGACAAAAATAGAAGCAGCAATAACATAAATAATGAAAATAATATCAAATAATAATCAATTGAGAAAATAAAAGCTTATTGTTTACCAAATACAACTTATGGATAAAGCAGTACAATTTGAAACAAGTGACAAATATGATACTATTTTTATATTTGAAATGGAGACTTATCACCAAGACATATACAGACTTTTGATAGATAAACAAGTTGCTTGCAGATTCCAACTTACCATCTAAGGACATGTTTAATATCTAATTTCAAGTGTCTACAAACCAGTATATCTTCTATTAACAATAGTTTGCTTCCTACATTTTTTGTTCTCTCTCTTTTATCATTAAAGTATGAGGTATAAGAAGTTTGTTTTCATTTAAAGTCATGTGACAATAAAAGTACCTTTTCATTGGAGAAGTTACTAAATTAGGAGGAGCAATGGTAGCAGTCTCCTGAGTAGACTGATGAGCCACCATTCACTTTGAGAACTCATGTGATATAGAGTAACAAGTAAGTGAATATACAATTATATTCAACTAATGATTACATAGTTTGTAATGTAAAAAAAAAAATTAGTGCTATTCAACAATAGAAATGAATTATGTGTTTATAAAATATATGAACCAGAATGCAGGCATATACCAAGGAGACAGTAACTAGACACAATGAGAGAGCAGTGTATGTATATATATATATATATATATATATATATATATATATATATGAAAAAATAATATATACATTATATATTATTATCATTTTTTATATACTAGAACAATGTTAGGAAAATTAATAACAAAGTGGGCATTTTTTTTTTATGTGAAACATTTTGTCCGTTATGATCTCATTGAAATAAAGTGACGTTTATATTGATGCAACTACACATGTTTATGAAGGAGAGGAGATGAGAATTTTAAATTAATACAAAACAAAATAATAAACTAAAACTTGAAGGAGAAATTTCCTCTATAGGGGAAACCTCAAGAAATTTGAATAAAAGATTATATGAACACAAAAGGGATCTTGCTATTTTAATTACACATGTGCACGAAATTTAAATATTAAAAGTCTAAAATCTTAACACATACACACAAAATTTGAATTAAATTAAAAATTTCAGCATCCCCTCCCCTTTGCACTTATGAGTAGTTATATCAACATAAACATCACTTTAGTTCATTGATCTAAAGGATAAAACACATCATATGAAAAATTTATTTTCCACTATAACATTAATTAATTATATATATATATATATATATATATATATATATACAGGACTCTCCCGGCAATTTCGACATATGAAGATACAGCTGCTCAGTTGTCAGAACTGAACAGCCAGATTATCTGCACATGGGATTTGAGTATAGTAGTGAAGGCTTGCGAAGAACCAACTACACTTTTTGGAAGGATTGAATACAAAGAACGAGTACACATAGTTTGCTTAAAGGTCTCCAAATGACATTCCTCAGGTTTTGAATTCCTTAATTGTCCCTTCTCCAAGACTAGCTGCCAACTAAGGCTATAAGGGCCCAATCTGTCCATAACTGAGGAGAGAAGTAATGCATTCCTACCCCCTTTTCCCCAAGGGTATTTATGCATAAGTGAATGTAAGGAATTTAAACTCAGATCTCCAATTATTCATTTTAAGATAATTATCCTTTAGCACACAGTGCACATATATTTTTTTTAAAGACAATTTAAAAAGGAAACTGAAACTGTTTTACAAACGAAATGTCTTCGATTTGGAAATGGTTGGAATATAAAACAACTTTTTATATTCATCTTTATGGTTTTACTAATGCAATAAAATATTTTGTAGTTGAATATTAAGTAAAACATTTCAAATATTTATTTACCAACATTACATCTGTTTAATTATAATGAAACTGACTACAGGAGAATATTTCATTATATCAAATACATATAGATTTTCATATTAATGTTTAAAGAGTATTTCAAAATGTTTATGTATGATTTTCATATTCTAAATCATAACTGAATCATATTTTAGAGAAGGTTTCTTTAGAATTTATATCATATTGATATATGAGTATATAATTACATTCATATTTATTTCTATAGACAAGGTTATAATTAATTTATCAGTCATATCTTATATTAATTAATCAATTTTTTTGTATTAGTAAAAGCAGCAAAATACCCAAAGTTGTCTGGTGTACATGAAATTGGAAGGAAAAAAACATTTTTAGTTGTTAAACAAAATCATAATAATAATTCAGGCTTGCAATAAATCTGATGGTGTACAAATAACAACATAAATAAAACAGTGTGAATTCCAGTAAAACAATTTATAGTAAATGAAACTCTTCATCAGTCAGATTAAACTGGTTGCAGAATGTACCAACTGTTAATGATAATTTAGTAATACATTTTCTTTTTCCTTTATTTATGATTTATTATTTTAAATCAATAATAATAAAGTGATAAAACTTACTAAGTGATCAATAATAATCAAGTGATCAAAAACTTATTAAATTTTATTTGATTATATTCAGAGGATAAATAGAGATTACATTAAAATTATTAATAAAAAACATTTTTAAGTAAAATTTAATGTTTTACTTAGTTTATGGTTTTGAAGTAAATAACTTTAGTTTAAACATGTTTAATACATAATTTGTTTTTGTTTATTATAAGCAACTCAGGATTTTGACCATTACTTGGATAGCTTCTCAACTATATTTTTTTCATAGATACATAAACATCTATCTATTTATCTCCATGACAATTTTATAAGCAACTCAGGATTTTGACTGTTACTTGAGTTGTTACATTTTTACACAAGTATTACATGCTTAAGTGGTTGCTTAATTTTTTCAAGTTTGGCATTGATAAATAGAAAACAGACATTTCAATACAACTAGCAGAACTGATAGAATTATTGGGTATTATATAAAATAATATATTTAGTAACTCATATAAGCTTTGGCCAAATTCAAGTACAGTTGCTTATAAACAAGTTAGTTGTAAAATTTAAAAAAAAATACTACCATGGAGTATTTCAAAAATACATTGGTACATCTGTAAGTCTAATGATGAAAAAGTGTTTATTTTATATAAATATGTTTCAGCATAATTTAAATTGTTGTCAATGCTCTTATTTTAATGGTAAATAGCACATAGATAAAAGATTATACAGCAAAAATTTCATATAAAAATTTAGCTAATATTGTATTTGTGTTATAATATGATAATTTTTTTCATGAAAATTAAAGGCTAAAAAGGTGGGCTTGTATTATACAAAAGTATGTTTTCAGAAATATTTACTCAGCTTAAAAAAAACCTTTCATTTGAAATAGCAACATTGCAAATACACTCAGTTTTGCTCACAAGATAAAGTTTCTTTATATTTTGATTTGCTTTTAAAGTTTTCTCTCTTCATTCTTAATGAAAGTCAATATTTTTTTTATTTTCATAGTTTATAGTATATAGAAATATAATAAAGTCATATCAAACAGAAAAGTATGATAGATTAATTAACACCTTTCCCCAAAAATTCAAAAATAAGTTTTGAAATGGAAATGAGAAGAAACATGCAAGGGCTAAACATCCAATTCATTTCTCATTTTTAATATTGTGAAAAATTAAATATTTTAGTGAAATATTATGCATGACATTGGTTTTAGTAGATAGTATGGTACGACTTTTCTAAAAAAAAAAAAAAACATTTACATAGTGCTGTCTGTACTATGAGATTGTATTATACTAAAGGATATAATTTATTCCATTTTTAGCTTCAGAAACACAGGGTTATATTATACACAAAAAATATGGTAACTGTGTAAAGCTACAAAACTTGTTGATTTAATCTCATAGATATTATTATAAAGGTTTTTGCTTTGTCATAAGAGAAAGTATTGAAGTTATGAGAATTGGATGCTAAACAAGACTGTTCTTTATCAAAATGTCCCATGCATATATTACTGCTAGTATTCCTGGTTTGGGGTATAAGGTTTTATAATTATATATATATATATATATATATATATATGTTATTTTTAATTTATGCTTGTTGTTTTTTGACTACTTTATTTTTCACTTATTTAAGTTTATCATCTATAGATGAATTCAAGAAGATGCTGATCTCAGTGTCAACATTTCAGAAAATCAACTATATTTAAAGTCATAAGGACATTATTTTAAAAATTTCTAAGTTTCATTTACTTTAAATGGTTTCAACAAATTTGGTTTATCTTCATTTTTGCAATGGCTCTAATTTCTTATACAACTACTGGTTACTACTGAATCCGGCATAATTATTTTTTTGAGGGGGATGTGGGGAGGGTTGTTTATTTCAGTGCATCTACTAAACAACTGCTTCTGGCAATAAAAGTGATCTTAATAGTCTAAGCAAAAGCAGCTAACCCTTCACTCTCAAGACAGCTTCAGTAACCAGCAGGAATTTGATGAAAGCAAAGCATATTGCAAAAATTAAAAGCAAATTATTACCTGACCCTTGAGGAAATTCCAGGAGAGATTAATACCTGAACTTTGTGGACATTATTACCTGAATTTTCACGAGATTCCAGGAGAGATTAGGTAAAACAGCTTGAACAAAGATCAAATGTTCGGTGCAAAACATGAAAGAATTCGAACAAGAGTGTTAAGCAAATTTTCATCTTCCACTTTGAGGGAACATTTTT